GCAGGTGATTCATTTTGGAAACTCAGTTAGCAAGACACACATAAAACTGAAGCCACACCGGACCCCGGAAGTGGGGAAAAGAATAGGGCCAGTGGGAAGGGAGGGACCCCTGGGGATGGCTGGTCTAAAGAATCTAAGCAGAGTCGGACAAGAGCTCTAAAAAGAGCTGTCCAGGGGCCCTCTAGGAATACGGATAGGGAAGGAAAGGAGGGAACTGGAATATCCGGAGGAGGAGGCCCAGGAGGGTAGCTGTGAGGATGTCACTGTCAATGGAGGGCCTTCAGTAGGTACCCTCAGGCTGGAGATACAACTGTGTGAAACAAGGTGGGCAGTGGAACCCCAGAGAACAGGGCAGAAGTTGGGGTCACAGGAGGTGGGAGGTAAGGAAGCAGGGTTGGACTGAGCTGGGGGGGTGGGGCTCCTGTTCAAATACTAATATTGGGGATAGAAGGTTCTAGACCCAGTGGAACCTTGCAGCCACAAGGTCCTCGCCACTGACCCATTCTCAGGGGGAGACTTACAATGTGTCTCTGGACTGGGGTCCACTTAGAAACTTCATGTATCAGATACACCCTGCTAACAAGGATACTGACCCCCAGAGAGCAGCTGAACCTCTCCTAAAGCGAGCCAGGATTGGACTCCTGGTTGCCTGGCTGTGAGATTGTGTGGGTAGGACAGTCCTGGAGTGAGCCATGTGGTCACAGCCCACCCTATGCCTGTGGCTCCTCTTCCTGGTCGGCAGCCCTGCACCCCACAGCCTTGCCACAGCCCCTTGGTATCCAGCTCACGCGCTCAGCATCTGCTCACCTCGCGGAACACACATCGAGGCTGTGTCTGTGATTTATCATCCTACAGATGCTACCAAAATGCCAAACTCCTCGCACCCGCTCTGCGGGTGTCTGCAGAGACGGAGCTGCCGTGCAGAGAGAGCGAGCGAGCCTTGGCATTTGCTGGAGGGGCATGCTTGGTTTCCCGGCTCCTTCCCAATCATGCCAGAGGCAGCAGCTCCCGACTGCAACAACCCTGTGACTCTGCCCACCCTTCGCCTTCTTCCTGGTGTCAGGCTGCTTGGCAGAATGGGTGTTTTGTGTTGGTTTAGGGCATTCTTTTTGTTGTGGCTATAGGACACACACACACACACACACACACACACACACACACACACACACACACACACACACACCCTTTCTCTCAGGCTTCGCTAATTTGGGGGCAGGAAGGTCTCTGACAAAGCTTGTATCGCAGTAGAGCCCAAGTGACCCTCTTTGGATGCAAAGACCAAGGCTCAAACATCAAAATGGGCATGAGACCACTCAGGAGCCTCCAAGCCACGTGTCAGGAGGGGTCAGGGCTATTCCTGAGGCTCCTGAGGGTCCACGGGATGTAGAAAAGGGAAAAGGAGTGGTCTGGGCCTCGGGACCTTGCTCTGAGATGAGCAGTGGCCTTAAGTTCTGCTCCTGGGTCCAGACTCCTTCAAAGAAAGGGTGGTACCCATGGAAACAGGCCTGGCTGTCTTAAGAACCTGGGACCGACAGCATAAACAGTCTGGCTAAGGAGGAGGAAAGGGTAGGACTGGCCCTTTTCTGAAACTTGAGGGAAGAAAGGCACTAGAGGGCTACATGGAGCAGAGTCCTCTGGCCTTGCCATGTCCCACTGTAGCCACATGGGAAGACACACCTCAAGGGTGCTAAGTGCTGCCGAGATCCATGGATAGCCAGCAGCCAGCCAGCCTGAGTCATAGGAACTCTCAGCTCAGTCTGATCAGTGACGGGGACACCCCGTCTATCAGCAAAGGAGAGGAGGATTCTGTCCAGAGAAACACCAGTCACAGAGCAGGATACCACCCAGAGATGGTAGGAAAGCTGGCTCCTGGAAGCACAGAGCCCCATCCCCACCCCAGGCTCCTTCCCGGCCCATGGAAGCTGCTAGGACAGATCATCAGCCGAGGGTTAGGGTAGCTCTCCAGAAAAGCTCATACTCTGGCAGGTGCACATGGCCTTAATTCAACATTTTCCAGTGTCTTGGACTCTTGTAGTCTATACTCGCTAGGGCCCTGGGCTCCCATGGTACACTCCTAGGCAGGGGAACTAGTGGTTCGTCTAAAAAGATGGCATTTAGAGTCAAAACTGAAGGCCCAAAGAGGATGATAGAGACTCTAGGGAGGACCAGACAGATTCCAACAGTGGGAAGGTGTCTCACTGGGCTCAGCTGGGAGTTGGCAGAATCATCCCATTGCGAAAGACAGAAGATGCAGGGGGGCAGGTGCTTGTCCGCTACGAGGCAGACCACGGTCAGGTGTGCTGTCACTGGAACCGGGCTCCATCCTTTGGGCTGGGCCCCTTCTTTCCCTGCCAGCATCCTGAGTGGCAGTGAGTTTCCATGTGCACTGAGCTGGTATCCTCCACTGAAGCCCCTGGCCAGGGAAGAGGCTGTCATCGCCATGTCACAAGACGGCCTCCTAATGCTCACTTCCACGAAACTGTTAAGTGGAGCCCACGAACACCGGCAGCAGCTTCACGCTCGCTTCCCGGCATTCATTCACAGGCGCCTATCAAAGACCTGGATAAAATATTTAATACAAAAGGCCTCATTTTAGCCCTCTTGGAGGCACTCAGGCAGCAGCAGCAGAGGATGGAGGATGGGTTCGGTGCCGCATGCCTCATGACCCTTCTGTTATTCATTAAGCCACTGAGCCAGCCTTATTGATGTTCAGCTGTCTGGGAAAATACCTGAGAAAATGCAAACCCTTCTGCAGGGACAGAAAATCACTGTGCATGCTCCCCCGAAGAAATATCCACCTCGCCCTGGCCATCAGACAAACCGAGGCTTCATTGATCAGACAACCCTGCTTTCATCTTCTAGGGGGTGAGGAGTAAAGGTCCCCTGGAAGAGCACAGCCACCTCCTGCTTGGCTTAAAACACTTTCTATCCTACCAGGGCTCAGATCAGACAGACAGCAGCCTTCTTGGAGCTCGGAGAACATGGAGTCCTCCCACATTGATTTTGCGCCGCCGCCGTAATGGCAATTGGGGGAGGGAGCTAACAGCTCCCACGGCCCCTCCCCGGGTCTCTGTTCTGCACTTAACACACTGAATTGTGAAGTAAAGAAAGAGTAAACTAGCAGCTGGGGGACCTCTAGGAAAATATTTACCCCAGCTTGCTGCGGCAGGTAAAAAGCCTTGCTCACAGTGTCGTTCTGTTGATCGCTCAGACGGGCCCTTGGGAACCCAGTGCTCCAATGTCCCACTAACCACAGCTCGGCGCTGGCTAGAAACGTGAGTGGCACTCATCTCACTGCTGAGAGTGCTCCCACCAGTCAGACCGCCAAGCTCAAGCGGCTGCTAGACGGACACTGGAGGAAGGAGGTAGGAGCCTGGGTACCAGATCCCGACGAAGTCCTGGACTCGGGAAGCGGCTGAGTGAGTCTTCTGTGAATGTGACCTTCAAGAGAGCATCATGGAGAACCTGTTCCCTGTCAGGTGGAACAGAGGTGGCGGGTGGAAAGAGCCTCAACTATGCTCTTACGGTGACCCCTAGAGGAATGCCGCTCCTGCCGCTGAGACCCTGTCTTGGGGGTGACTGCATTTTCCCAAACAGCTCGGACCCACGTCCTGCTTTTTTCTCCAGATATGCAGGTAATGCTCAAGCGGCCTCTGCCGGCCTCCGGTTCTGCCGGTCCCTGTGGTTCCCTGCAGAGGGGCCGTCAGCAGCGGCCCTGATAAAATGTAACAGGAGAGGCACCTGGAGCCACTAAAGCCGCACTGAGGCGGGACGGACACTAGAGGGCGCAGCCCAGCAGAGTCCCTAGGCCGTAGCTGATACCCGTCTCTAGTGGGTCTAAACCAATGGTTCTCAATCTGTAGGTCACGACCTCCGGGTATGGAATGACCCTTTAAAGGGGTCACCTAAGACCACCCTGCATATTAGATATTTACAGTATGATTCATAACAGTGGCAAAATTAGTTATGAAGTAGCAATGAAAGTAATTTTATGATGGGGGGTGTCATCACAACAGTATTAAAGCATCGCAGCATTAGGGAGGTAAGAACCACTGCTCTAAACTCTCATAGGCCCGAAGGGTAAAATATACAGGATTTGGGCCTGTTTGGAGTATAATGGGTTAAATCAGATTGAGGACAATGCTCACCCCTGCTTCTCTTTCTTCTTTCCATGTGGTTATAGGAAAATCTCATGTTACATATGCATATGGCTGTCACCATACTTCTGGTGGGCCGTACTAAGTGATGGTACCGACGACTTTGTAGCTAAGGCCACCAGACGGGTTCTTCTCCCGCCCACTAGCACCGTATGGTGTCCCGTGCTTATTTCGCTCACTGACACCATGAGTGAAAGATAACGTGTTTGCACCTCGGTCCTCATCAGTTCCACAGCCCCAGCTTGCAGGGCCAGCTGCCAGGGACCTGCAGCCTGACCCCAGCCAGGGAGGCAAAGGGCTGCAATAAAAGAGGCTCCTTCCTCTTCTGAGTGACCACAGCCAACCCCCAGTGAGATCTAGGGGAGGCGGGCTAGGGTGCTCCTGGGTACCCAGACGCAAACCCAACCTGCCATCTGAGCCACAGAGCCATGTCTCAGCTGGAGTGGCTCCAGACCAGGGCTGGTCACTGTAAGAATCTTCCTGACTGCTGAGCTCATACTCCCAACTCCCCAGAGCCTCAGTGGCTAAAGGAAAAAGGGACGCATGGTTGGCAAGATGGCCCCTTGGGTAAAGGCACCCCAGCCACCCGCCCTGAGGTCCAGAGTTTGAACGGTGGAAGGAGAGAAGCCAATCCTACAAGTTGTCCTCGAGAACCTACACACACACACACACACACACACACACACACACACACACACACTGTGACACGGCGCATCACACATAAGTTGATACAGACATGTGAAACGTAAAGGGCTGAGTAAAAGTGTAACGTTAGAAAGCGGGCAGCGGGCAAGACGGCATGGAAAGCCCCACCCCAGCCCAGCCCACCCCACCCCACACCACTCCACCTCCCTCCCCCTGCACTCTCCAAGGCTGAAAGGCTCCACACCGAGTTAGGGAACCGGAAGAGGTGGAGAAAAAGAGGAAACCCCCGAGAGGAAGCTGCCTCTGTAACAGGAAGAGAGCCCTGGGGGTGGTTGTCCTCACCAAACCAGGCTCATGTGGGTCACACCCACTCCAGTCACCCAGGAAGCCCCTACTCACCTGCTGCAGCCCGTTCAGACACAAACTTCTCCTCACTCCTTGGAGGACAGATTTTTGCAGACTCTACAGTCACTGTTCTCAGCATCCTGACAGGACTTCTTCCTACCTTCCCTAAGGACCTCCATTTTCAGGGTGTCATTTACTTGGTTTTTCTCACCATTAGACTCTGGTAAGCATGTTTCAGCCCCAGGGCCTTTGTGCCTGCTGTTCCTCCACCACTATGCCCTTTTCTGTATCAGAGTCATTCCTTCAGCATTGGTGCTTCCTCTTGGGGAGACCTCTAGGATTCACGCACACATGTGTGCACACGCGAGTGCGCGCGCGCGCGCACACACACACACGAGCATGTACACATAATACACACACCCCTTTTTGGCATGTGCAGAGAGAACACAGAGGTTGACATCAGGATGTGTTTTTTCTTTTTAAAAATAATAGCTTTTAGGAGTTGGGGATTTAGCTCAGTGGTAGAGTGCTTGCCTCGCAAGCACAAGGCCCTGGGTTTGGTTCTCAGCTCCGGGAAAAAAAAAAAAAAGTTGCTTTTTATTTCTATTCACGTGTATGTCTGTGTGCCATGTGCTCAGAAAGGACAGGAGAGGATGTCAGAGCCCTGGAGCTAGAGTTACAAGCAACTCAAAGCTGCGGGATACAAGTGCTGGGAACCGAACTCAGGTTCTCTGCAAGAGCAGAACTTACCCTTAACCACAGAGCCATCTCTCCAGCCCCCGGGATGGCTTTTGTCTTTTGCTCTTCGATCCCTCTCTCCTCACTGCTTTCTGTTTCTCTCCCCTCAGCTCCACCTTCTGCTTTCAGAGTCAGGGCTCTCTCTGTACCTAGAGGTTCCTACTCACCATTCTGTGTAGACTAGCTGACCAGAAAGACCCTGAGGTCGGGCTGCTCCTGTCTCCATCCTACAGCACCAGGGTGACAGAGCCTGGTGCTCAGGAGAATGGACCCAGGAATGAAGACTCTTCCCAGCCTCCCAAGGGCTTCTAACAGGGACCCAGGAAGGAATGTGAGGGTCGAGGATGGCAAAGTGGCCTCTTCTGATGTGAAGTTACAAGAAAGCAAATTCTGGTTTGGTCTTCTAGAAACCTCCACTCACTGGCATGGGCATAGACACAGCAGGGTAGACACCCAGGAATGTGTCACACCAGGAGGCTGTTCACTAGTCCAATGTGGATGTCCCTGCTATTGGATAGCAACCCAGCTATGGGGTCCCAAATAAGGCTTCCTGCTCCTTCCGAAGAGGTCATTATCAAAGATGCTCGGGGGTTGGGGGGGGGGCTGGACCACCACAGTAAGCATTAGACCTTTTACAATCCTCTGCTTCCAGATGGGACCAGAGGGACATCTGGGCACCTAGTTCCCTGTAGTGGGGGAGACCGAGGGAGAGCATACTGCCCTACAGCATTTACCTAGGAGGAAGTGACAGTATCCCACAGGGACAGAGGTCTGGCCAACTAACATGCAGCATGACCAAGAAGATGACCAACCCAGTCACACCAGGCACTGGCAATGGGGAGGGCTGGAGAGATGGAAGGCAGAGCAGGGCTGGAGAGATGGAAGGCAGAGCATGTCCACCCCCCAACTCAGCTTTATAGAAACCTCAGAATTAGCTAGTCAAAAAGCTCAGGACTAGTCGGGCGGTGGTTGCGCATGCCTTTAATCCCAACACACAGGGAGGCAGAGCCAGGCGGATCTCTGTGAGTTCAAAGCCAGGCTGGGCTACCAAGTGAGTTCCAGGAAAGGTGCAAAGCTACACAGAGAAACCCTGTCTTGAAAAAAACCAAAAACCAAAAAACCAAAACCAAAATAAAACAAAGCTCAGGACCCCAGTGAAGCTCACCTATACATTAGAAGCTCAAGGCTGAGCCATAGGAACAAACACATCATATAAACACACAGTCTTGCTCCTGGGGACTGAGTATAAACTATGAATTGACTCCCTCTTCTTGTTTTTAAGACAGGGTCTCTTGTATCCCAGGCTGAACTTGAACTGGACCTTGAACTCCTGATCCTCCTGCCTCTATTTCCCAAGCACTGGGATTAGAGCCATGCACCACCATATCCATTTTGTGCGGTACTGAGGGACAGAATTTAGGGCTTTGTGCATCTTAGGCAAGCATGCTACCAACAACCCCAACCCCAGCCTATCCCCTGTCTGCCTGCCCCTCTCTCTCCCTGTTTCTTGTGACACTGTCTTTCTACACAGCCCAGGCCAGCCTTGAACTCAAGATCCTCTTTGAGATTACAGGAGCACAGCCTGCCTTGCATGCTCTTTTGAAGGGTGTGTAACACTTCGCCGCAAGCTGGAGATGGGCTGAGACCTCTGTCTCCTCCCACCAGCCCCTCTACAGACGGAAGCCTTGTGCGGTCAGTTCTGGTGGGATGGGGCCAGCAGAGGCCTCTCTGCCTTGCTGCCGGGCACCCAGGCTCAGGTTGGCACACCGGCCCCAGGCTTTACGCGGTGGGTTCTTCGGGGCTCCTGGGCTGGCTGTGGAATGACTCACACATGGATTCCTGACTAGGAGGGATGATAGTTCATATTAACAATGCTCTGATGCTGTAGGCCAATAAGAGCCTTTCCCCAGCGGAAAAGGGAATGGAACAGGCCTTCCAGGACTGCCTCTGTACAGCTAGTGACTCGGGCTGCCTTGGCCTGTGGCCAGCACCCAACACTCCTGGGAGGGCCTAGCAGTAACCCCAGGGTGCTGAGCCAGGCCTCGCATTAAGCAGGTAGATTACCTCTCATTGCTCCTGACCCAGCCTCTTTAAAAGGGCTGCAGTCCATGGCGCCAGGCCATAAAAGGGCATGCGGGCTTGGTGGTCCCTGGGGCAGACCCTGCCCGCAGCCTTCCCTTCGAGCCATATGTTCCTGGCTGGCTTAACTTCTCTGGCTCCAGGCTTCCCAGCTGTAAACTGAGAGCGAAGGTCCCCGTGTGTTGAGTTTAGAGCATAACTATTTCTATGACAGGAAGGGAAGTGGGAGCCACGAGGAGATGGAGACGAGCTGAAACCCCAGGAAAACGCAGGGTGGTGGAACTGGCTGGACCTTTACTATGAATGATCCCAGACTCGCTCAGTGACTCCATCAGAGTACTGAGCGGCGGGAGGCCGCAGGCCCCGAAAACTGCTCTTGCCGGTCATATCTAGAGCAGTAGCATTAAGAGCCATGTCCTGTGCAGGCAGAGAGCCTGGGGTCACAGTGATCTGGACACGTCCCTGGGGTGGGTGGGGCCGTGAATGTTCTAACTCCTGTACTTCAAAGAGGAAATGAGCGGAAGGAAGGAAGGATGCAGTCAGGCAAACAGGAGGGCAGGGATGGCGGAGGCTCTCACTGGCTAAGGGGAAGGTCTAGTCCAGGGCCCAAGCAGCAAGGGCTTCAGGAGGAGGAAGGCCCCTTCTCTAAGGTCGGGTGTGCCCGCTGGGAAGCCCATGCCTACCGCTTGGGAATAGGACCCTATGGTAAGGGAGAGGGAACCTCAGTCTGTGACTCCATTTCACGCCACACACATTGCATAGTATGCACACGTGCACACACCCACCCCTCACACAATGAGGTGTTGTCTCCCTGACTACCCACAGTCTCCCATCCCCCCCTGGCCCCAGTGACAGCCCAAGAGAAACAGCTGTTAGGAGTCCGCAGAGCACCAGGTCGGACTGCGTAGGATTTCCCCCTGGAACGCACTATTCTTACAAGATTATGGTGAGTTCACTTATTCATCCACTTCTTCCCCTGCTGTTTGCACTGTTACCAGGTGTGCATGGGTTTGGCCATAACCTTGGGCAGCTGGGGAGAAAGATGGCTGATTGATGTCCAGGGAAGAGGATGCGCAGAGGGAGCCCCAGGGTGCTCAGAGGCATGCAGCTATGAAAGAGAGCATGGGAATGTGTTAGTTACCTAGGGTGCATCAACCTGGGGGGCGGGGAAGGGTTCCTGGGGTCAGACTCAGGGTTTTCTCGTAGGGCACAGGGGCCCCTCGCAGCAGGTAATTTTTCAGGAGCTCGTAGACGCAGGTTTGGGGACCCAAAGTCTCTGTTTCTGCTTGGGGCCTGTCCTCTCTCCAGGAGCACTAAGGGGGATGAGGCATGACTCACAGTCCACAGTACTACTCAACAGAACAGGCATAGAACAGCACAGAACAGTCTAGAACAGTACAGAACAACCTGAGTGGATAAATGAACGAACAAGGGATGTGAAGAGGAGGGGAAGAAAGAGGAAATAAATGCCATCAGCCCCCAAGGCATTCTATTCATTTCTTGAAGGTTGTTGGTTCAAGTTTACACAATCTGGGTGAAACGCTACAGCGTTCAGGCCTGAGATGTAGACGTTTGTAACGACGGATTAAAATGTGGGCACCAGCTCCGCTACCCTGATCGCTGCCAGCCTCAGAAAGGTCTGGGAGGGCCTCCCTTGACACATTTACCTCCCTCCCAAGGCTTCTGGGCAGCTTAGTGCCTAAGCAGGTAGATCATCTGCTCTAAAATGTATCCTGGCCACAGGGCAGGCTCCTAAGGTACCTGAGAAATCTATTTCCCTTGTAGACATGAATGTCCCTTTCTCGCCCTCCCAGTCGATAGCAGAAACCTACATTTCGCCCAGGCCCCTGCCTGAGTGATGTCTAGATCCCCACCTCATGGCTCCCCAGTGTACTGGGGCATCTGCCCAGTACACTGTGCCCCAAGTGAATGAGCTTAGACCACATTGTAACAATGTGCCCTGGGTAGAAAGACACAAACAAAGAAATGCCAACTTATATAGTATGGCTGTGGTTTAACACACGGTTCTGTCTTCAGGGCAAGGTACCCCTGTGATAGGTGGTCCCACAATGGAGCTTGTAGATTGGAGGCGGCAAGCAGAGCTCCCCTACCCACTTCACAAACTTTTTTTTTTTTTTTAAGATCAGAAGAAAACCTCCAGGGAATCACCTCAGGAGCTATTTGACTCATGTCTAATGTCTTGGGAAGAAATAAAATCAGTAAGTCATGGTCATTAAAACATCATTCCCTCCCATACCTGCAGATAGCACTTGGGGGCAGGGAGGGGCGAGAATGAGATGTACCCTCAGAGGCCACAGCAGCCATAGTCACGAGTCCAGTTGGGAACATGTTTATAAGGAATCGTGTGGGCAGCTCAGAAAAGCCACCTTTACACATTTTGAGTCTTGATATTATTGGAAACCCTGGAAAAAATGGCTGAGGTACCTATTTAACATATCAAAGTGGTTCTTCCAGAATCCCTACCTGTTATAGGGCCCTTCTGGCTGACGTATCCTGCCCCCTACCCTAAACTTCTCCGGCCCCGAGGCTGGGCTGCCCTTCCCTATATAATCCAGCCCTTTATCCTCCTGGCTTCTTGGTCTGGCTGTCCCCTCCCGGATCCCACCTCTCTTCAGATGGTCTGGCTCAGGGTCATGTTCACTCTGGACTCTTGCAGATGTCCCTGGCTCTGCCGTCCCTTATATCTACAATAAACCTCCTCCACCATATCCGGGAGCAGTCATGTCCTTTTTTCTTTTTTCCCATTCAGATATCACAGGGCCAGAAGCCTCGGAGCCATGGGCAACCCTGTCTGTGAAGCCCCAGTGACAGGCACTGACTGAATACCTACTCTGTGAAATCCCAGAGCAAAGCAAGGGGAATGCACAACTGTGTGAAATGCTCCCTGTTGGCTGCACAGGAGAGACCTGGGCCCTCTCCTTCTACATGGAGCCTACGACTGTTCTGCCTGGTCACATCCATGCAGGTGGTGGGGCAGAGGTTGAGGTTCAAGATGAACCCATTCTCCATCCCCCCCCTCCCCCAGGGCACAGGCTGGGTTCCAGTTCCCCAGGGCACAGCTGAGACTGATCTCATGACCAATTAACATACAACCAAACACAGGAAGGCCATAGTAATTGTTTCAAGGGAGGAAGGAAGTCAGGGAGGGAGGGAACAGGCTGCCCCTGAAGACTCAGCCACTGGTGGTGGCTCTGTGGCCCACAAGCATAGTCCTCACCCACCCATGCTTCTGCACCAGTCACCCATGTATGGTCTGGTCCAGCCTGTGTCCCCGCTCTTCCCGTCCCCCACTAGCCCCTGCCGCCTCTTTATAACAAGATCTCACTTTTCCCAGACAGGCCTCCAACATGCTATGTAGCTGAAGACGACCTTGAGTTTCTGATCCTCCTGCCTCCACCACGTAAGTTCTAGGACTACAGGCCTGTGCAGGTTCATGCTAGGGATGGAGCCCCAGAGCTTCATGCATGTTACGCAAACATTCTACCAACTGAGCTATACCCCCAGCCCACCCTTTCTGAGCCACAGTCTTAACTCTAGCCAAAGGGTGGGCTTCCTGGAGATCCCAGCAACTGCCACCAGGCAAACGTTTACATGTCTCCTGTGTTCTCAGTATTTCTGTTAGGAGTCTGCCGCCACTCCAGCTCCATGACCGCACATGTGCGGTTCAGCAGCTAAGCAAGGGGTCTTACGTCTTGTGTCATCACTGCGATCACGCAGCGCGCGGTCACGCAATCAGCGCATGTGTGGCTTAAGCCTACCTGCGCATGTGCACGGAAATCCTTAAAAAGCCGGACACAGACTCCGCCTCTCTGCTCTTTCTGCTCTCTCTCTCCCTCTCTTCCTCCCTCCTCCCCCTCTCTCCCCTCTGCACATGCTTCTTCCCCAGGCCTGGTTCTTTTATGTCACGCCCCTGCCCCCCCATAAAGCTCTGATACTGGGTTTTGTCGTGGCTCATGCCTCATGACCTTTCTGCCCAGTAAACAGCGCCGCTTAACATTTTTAAAAGAACAATTTCCAGCCTGAAAGTTGACACACTGGGTTGCGGAAGTCCAAGACCATTCAAAAGACCAACTGTAGAGAAATGTGAAACTTGGGCTGTCCCAGGAACTCAGGGACATGTGCCCAGCGTGAGCCAGGGGAAGGGTACGGGGAAGGGCTGATGTGGACCCCACCTGGAGAGGCCAGGATGTAGGCGGGAGGTGTGTGAGCTGGCTCAGCTCTGGCTGGGAGAATCCAGCCCTCCTGTGCACACAGGTCTGCTGTAGTACACCTTGTTCTGGTCTATTTGGGTCACTGAACCCAGGTGACTGACAGTTAAATTGTTCTCCAACAGGCCAAGATCCAGGCTGGACTTGCTTACCGGTGGCCCAGGGCATCCACTCACACTGAACCTGTTTTAAAGCAGATACTCAAGAAAGGACAGGAAGCGGGTGAGGACAGTGGTTCTCATCCCTCCGAGAATTCCACGGTGGACAGATGAGCGGGCCAAAGTACATCGTCATTGTGTGTGGTCTCGCAACTGCCTACACTTTCTCTAGGCATGACCTTCCTAAATAAGGTTGGGGAGGACACCCACAGGAAATGATACTGCCAAGTCATTGTTGTGCTAAAAATAAGCCTCGACTTTCAACACAGGGAAGATCACCCTTCACTGTTCCCTACCCTGTGACCATGTGGGTCCATGGGAGGGGTCTACTCCAGGAAGGCCAGGGTCATCTAAGATGAGCTGGTCATCCCAAGGTGGGGATCATCACAGAGGGGGGTCAGCTTAGTTGCACTAAGTCCAATAGCACACCCAGTCTCCAGCCGTTAACCTAGACTCTTCTAGAACAGTGTTTCTCAACCTTCCTAATGCTGCAACCCTTTAAAACAGTTCCTCATGGTGTGGTGACCTCCAGCCATAAAATTATTTTTATTGCTACTTCATAACTGTAATTTTGCTACTGTTATGAATCACAATATAAATATCTGATATGCAGGATATCAGACATGCAATTCGGGGGTGGGGGGTGGTGGCAGGTGCTATCCACAGGTTGAGAACCACTGTTTTAGCTGCTGCCGCTGCCAGCCAAACAGGCCTCTATGAGCAACACTGATCTTTGAAACCTGTAAGCAGAGGTCACTATCTACAAAACCCAGAGCCGCTGTTCGGTCCTCGGTGAGCTTTGGGCTGCAGGCAGTATGTGCCATCCTCGCTGAGCCTGTGACTCATACCTACCTACACACACACACACACACACACACACCCGTCTGACCCATCTTTTCACCCTCTCCATCCACACAGACCTCCCGCTGCTTCTGTGTCCATTCCTACAGCTGCCCCCGGGCCTCTGCTCCCAAACCTCCGTCCGTCTTTTTCCTCAGCAGCATCTCTTGAGGCCTTCGTGGAGTGCTTTATCCAAAAGGGAAGCCTCAACACGCAGCCTTCTTTTTCTCCATATTAAAATGAGTTTAGGGGCCCAAGCTTTACTCTGCTTCCCTTTGCCACTGGAAGCCACACCCCGGGAGCTTATTCCCAATACATGGTGAGCGTGTGCGCACTGCCTGCCAGGGCGGGCAGCTGATGGGAGGCTGTGCCCCAGGCTTGCTGGACAGGCTCTCCTCCACAGTGGGAATGGAGGAGGTGTCTGTCCTCAGAGGAGTCTTCCCACTGCGCATCCCCTGACCCGACACCGTGGCAGAGTTCTGACATCACACTAGAAAGAACCGCTTGACCCAGACCCTCCTCATTAGTTCAGGGGTGTGGTTGGCTACCCAAGACTCACTGACCATGCACCAAAGCACCCAGGGGCCTCCGGATGAGAAGGGACCCCATGGGCTCTAACTTCCATCCTCTGACCTCTCTCTTGTCTGCTCCAGCTTCCAGATATCAGTTCCCAGGCTCAGCAGGACTCTGCCATGACCCTGTGTACTTGTGGCAACTAGAGTCAAAGACCCTGGGGGCTGGGAGCATGTATGCAGGTGGTGCTCAGTCATACGGACTCAGGTGTCTACTTCTCTTTCTTTAGGCCCAGCACGGCTCTCCATGTCCCATTATGTCCTCTTTTCTATTGAGGGGACCCGAAGACCCTCTTTCCCAAGGCAAAGGTCCCCTTCTGGGTATTTCCTTCTGACAGTGTACAGTAGGGGAGCGAAGGATAGGCAGCAGGAGATATCCTCTCCCACCGGAAGATGGAGGCAGGAAAAGTTACTCCACCCACAGGAAGTCCCGAGGACACCCTGTGCCCTGGAAATCCCTCTATGAATGCTATGGGAGCTTGGGTGTCCGGGGGGAGGGGGAACCCAGCCACACCCAGGTCTACTGGGAGCTGATGGTCTGAGTTTCTGGGGAGCTACATCTACCAGAGCCCAGACGGAAGTACCACTTGCCATCTGCCCCCCGCATCTTGCAAGAACCCTGACACACACGACCTCTCAAAGGTGGTGATGCTGGCCTCACGGTTAAGGCCTGGCTCATTCTGGTGATAATTTCAAGGCACACCGACCCCTCCCCTCTGGGCGCTGTTCCCCTTCTGAGGTATGGCCTAGAGGAAAGCAAGGGAGAAGGGAGGCCTTGGTATGCAGGGTACAAAGAGAAGGATAAAAGGAACCTCAGGAGAGAGGGCTCTGTTCTCCATTCCATACTTTTTTTTTCTTTTTTTAGAGACAGGGTTTCTCTGTGTAGTTTTGGAGCCTGTCCTGGAACTCGCTTTGGAGACCAGGCTGGCCTTGAACTCACAGAGATCCGCCTGCCTCTGCCTCCCGGGTGCCGGGATTAAAGGCGTGCGCCACCACCGCCCGGCACGTACTTTTATGCTGAGCTCCCAACTCTGCTCCCTGGACAAGCTCACAGGCACAAACCCAGGCACACACAATGCTCTCAGACCAAGAAGAGAGCTGAACGTGGAACCTACAAGGGCTCTTCTTACCTCCCAGCCTCAGTTTCCTGACCTGTCCCCTGAGAGCGCTGGGTAGACTGTCCCCACACAGTCTCTACAAAAAGTCACCCCTTTCCACCCACAGCCCTAATCATCTGCAGGCCTACTGGCCCCAGGGCGACTTACCTAGGGCCAAGCGGAGGCCAAGACAGAGCACGGGTCAGAACTGCTGGGGGCTGATGCACAGGCTTGACCGGGCTGCTAGACCATGCCCCTGGAAGAGAAGAACACAGGTCATGTGGGATGCTGGTATGAACTCACAATGTTCCTTCCACTTGCCCAAGCATGGCTGCGGTTGTGTGTCTGTTTACAAGTCCTACAATCACCCAATAACAGAAGCCTCTGAGACACTGCCCCCGCTCAGCTGGGGTTACATTCTCACAAAGCCAGTGTGTGGGCACAGATCACGGCCATGGCTCTCCAGTCCACAAACCTGGCTCAACTGGGTGACTCTGGGCCATCCACGATGCAGCTGTGTGTGTGGTGCCTGGCTCTCTGTCCCTTCTGGTCATTAGGAGGCTTGGTGGAACATCCAGGTTGGGTTTGGGTAAGCTCAAAGGGGCATCCATGTCTGGCCCCTACCTGGGCTTACCCCGGGCCTCCTCCTCAAAGGCCGATTGCCCCAGCCAATTGTCCCAGCCTCCCTGTCACAGCGCTGGGTACAGAGAAGATGTATACAATGTATACATCTAATGTGTACATCGACTAAAAATGCATCCCAAGGCTGGAGAGGTAGTTCAGCGGTTAAGAGCACTGACTGCTCTTCCAGAGGACCTGGGTTCAAAAACCCAACACCCACATGGCAGTTCACAGCTCTCTGTAACTTCAAGATCTGACACCCTCACACGGACATACGTTCAGGCAAAAACACCAATGCACATTAAAACAAAACCCGATACATCCCAGCTCAGAGAGCACACAAGCCCTCACCATAAAGAAATACCCCGTCAGCATCAAGAGTCACTCTGTACCTTTCAAGATGCCCAGCAACCCAAAGCCCCTGCAGAGGGCCAGCTCTGAAGGCCACCTCTCTCTTCCCCGACGGCTCCCCACTTGGGGACTGGTGTCCCCTTCCAGGTGAACAGTATTATGGGAACGTTCCTGAATAGTCTTGTACCTCACTCAAAGATGTCCTTGTCCCCTGAGATCCTCAGGACAGACCAAGGAGGGAGGTCCAGCATCACATCCATTTCCTTGAGGGGGAAAGTAGGGCTTAGGGAAGCTGCTAATTGACTCAATAGTCAAGAGGCAGCCAGAATGGGACCTGGACAGTCCTGTCACCTGAGCACAGCCCCTCTTCCTAGCCTGATCTCAGTTTCCCCTTCTGGCACACGATCCCTCCATCCACAGCAATGATCACATTCCTATGTAGTCCTTGCACCAAGCACCGGTCCACCCCAGTATCTGCTCTGAAGTACAGGAGGACTGGGGGCTCCCCTTGCTTTGCAGACTTGGGGTGGGTCAAGGACTGGATGTCTGCCCTCCTCTCACCCAGCCGGGTCAGCTGGACACAGCAAAGTCAGGAACACATTAGCTTCATTCCCTTGCATCAATGCCCAGTCAGAAGTTGTATACAGCAGGTGCCTAAAACACAGTGCTTTACAAAGAAACAGCCCTGGATTCAGACTCAGTCCTAAAATTCAAGATCCGGACTAGAAAAGCCACACACTCCCCAACCAGATCCATGCCCATTAGTGTGGGAATATGCACATTAGTGTGGGAATATGCACATTAGTGCAGGTGCCTATGGAGGCCACAAGAGGGCATCAGATCCCCCGGAGCCAGAGTTACAGGTAGTTGTGATCATCCCAACATGGCAGGAACAGCACTTGGGTCCTTTCAAAGGGCAGTAAGTGCTCTTAAGCACTGAGCCATCTCTCCAGTCCCCACATGTATTTTCAATGGACTTTATTCTAGAGCAGTTTTAGGTTCACAGAAAAACAGAGGGAGGCACGGAGACACCCCCTGGGCCCATCTGGTCCACGCCCTACACCAGAACGGGTCATCTGTCCCATCATGGTCATTGCTGTCACTCAGGTCCACAGCTTACACTAGCATTCACGCTTTGAGTCATGTATTCTGGGTTCACGGGCACACACGGAAGCGTGTCTTCCATGTTGTATACAGACCGGCTGCACTGACCTCAGCATCCCGTGCTCCACCTTGTTCATACTTTCTCAAGGTGTTTCAAAGTCCCAAGATTCAGTGGGTTCCAAGAGTCCTGATTTGACACGAGGGTGAAGACCCAGGCAGATGGCAGAAAAGAGGGGAACCCCGTGAAAGGTCATCAGAACACACAGCACGGTAGCTGCAGCAGAGCTCACCAGGCAGGTGTACAGTCAGTCACCGATTTCCCCATTCTGCCTTCCACCCAACCCTGGCCAAGAGCCATGCTCCAAGGGGCTTACTGAGGAGGAAGAGCCTCCAGGACATGCCTGTGTCATTCTAGGCTAAGTGGAACACCCAAAATGCAAATCCTCAGCCCAGGCACTGCTTCCTGCAGTCACTGATGTTAACCAAAGGGGAATTTTAAGAGATCATAGGGTACACATGGCATGATTTTACGCAATCAGAAAGAAAAATGAAATCATGAGACTTTCACAAGAAAATGGAAAGAACCGGAAATGAGCCAGACTCAGAAAAGGGTGTATGTGTGCATGTGTGTATGTATGTGTGTGTTGTGTGTATGTGGGGTGGTGGTAGTGGTGGGTGTGTGTGTGCATGCGTGTGTGCATGAGTGTGTGAATGTGTTTGTGTGTATGTGGGGTGGTGGAGGTGGGGGTGCCCATACGTGAATGTGTGTGTGCGTATGTTGTGTGTGTGTATGTGTGTGGTGTGGTGGTGGTGGTGGGGTGTGTATGTGCACATGTGTGAATGTGCTTGTACATGTGTATGTGAGGTGGTGGTAGTAGTAGGGTATGTGTGTGCACATGTGTGAATGTGTGTGTGTGTGTGTGTGTGTGTGTGTGTGTGAGTGTGATGAAACTAGAAAGGGGAGCCCAAGAGAGGAAGGGATCCAAGGGAGGGAAGAAGTAGGGGGACAGGAGCCACGTGACATGAGAGT